GGACTTGTCAAATGCAAGACAAAAGACATGCTTGGACTGAGGCGTCAAGATCCGAAAAGTTAAAAAATGGTGCAATTAATTTGCGCTTATCAGACAGAAGTAAGGGGGGATAGCCCATCACTGTAAACCAAGTGATCTGTGGGGCGCCGCGGAGGCTGTGCAGCCAGAGATTCCTTTGGATAAAGCACAGATGGCCCCTGGAAGCGCATACCAAGATGCCCGCTCTGAAGGCGTGTCAAACTTCTGAGTCCCGCTGCTGACGACACGACATTCCATGCCAAGAGCCAATCAATACACAATAATTGACTTCGTCCCACCTCGCAAAAAGATTTTCCAAACATATAAAAGTTGGCAGTTGATAACTCTCTTTGGCAGGAGGAGCCAAGCGAGAACTTCACCTGACGGATGGGTTGACGGGCCTGAACCTCTCTTCCCCCCCCAAGAAGGGACGCCTTTTTGGTAAGAGTCGTGCCTCTGTCAGACGTATCCCCAGGAACACATTGTTAACTAAAGCGCTAAACCACTACTTTGAGCTCAACTTTTGTAGACAGCGCATTTATCAATGGCAATCCCGAATCTGTGATACCTGTTGCTTGAATAAATTACCTACTGTTTCAACTTTGCGAAACTGTTTCAGTGAAAGCCCTTGGAGCAGCTCTGACAGGCAAGTTGAATTTGGTAAATAGCTACACACTTCACCCTTTAGACATAAACCGTTGACTAAGTCTGGGACTAGGAGTTGATCCAGCCGCACCTAGACTCTCCTCTGAGAGTTTAGAACGCAAGGGGTTCTGCTCTGAACCTCGTGACTCAACGGGAGGGCTCTCCTTTTGCTGCTTATCAGACTCCCTTACCCCTTTTAACGCGACACATGGCACAAAGGAAAAAAAAAGGCACGGCAAGTAACGATTAAATAATTCTTTTGCTAATTTTTACTCCCCTATTTTGCTAGTGCAATAATATGAATCTATTTTGCTTACCGCTGTTGGCCTGATGATTGAATCATTTTTACATCCCTCTATGTTTATGAAAACAAAAGCTATGTAAAGGGTCCTTATATGATTGAAACGGAATTATTTTCTCCACTGACTAAATGAGGTGCTACCCTAAACCAGTCAAACATAACATGTAGAACTGCATTCAGCATCATGCCAGCTGGGAAGCTAATACCCATCAATGCTGCATGGCCTTTCTAGCTTATGTGATTCAGCTTAACTAGCACACCAAGACCAGAAAGTATCCTGCTTATCAGACTCATCAGAGGCAGAGAGTAAGGTTTTTAGGCACATGTCTTTGGCTAGCAGCCCAACCACTTTCATGCACTGGCAAAGCCATGCAATCACTGAAAGAGATGGGGAAAAGTATCAAAATCAGGCTGCAAATGGTTTACCAACAATGAAATCACATGAGCATACAGTGGTAGCAAATGCTGCTTTCAGTTCTGAGTACCACATGTTGGAAAAGAGACAGATAAATTGGAGACAGTTTAAAGCTGAGTAACAATAAGGAGTAAATGGTTTAGAAAATAAAACCTCAGAGAAGAGGTAAAGATAGCTACATAAATTTAATGTGAAGGAAAAAGGGAGAAGAGATAGCCATGTTAGATTTGATAATTGTCTTTGGATGATTCAGGAATTGTCAACTCCCTTGCCAAGTCACAGAAGGACTGACTGGATGAACCTTTAAAGACTATTTCCAATGCAGTGATTCTATTGCAACAATCTTGATCCTGTTGTAGAAAGCATGATAAAATTACTCACTGAAGGAGGATTATAAAGAGGTCGATCATTTAATTGTTATATTTTTGTAAATTGAATACTTTTTTTCCCCACTATAATGCTATGCATTTACATCTTTGAGATCACGTACTAGTGTGCTGTGGGAACAAGGTTCAGCTGAAGCTTCAGCTGCAGCCATTAAAACATGAAATGTCATCACATGAAACAATGGTAAACACACATGGAAGGGAAGCGTAATTTTTAAACTAAGACAGGTAATGCATGAGACAGCTATCAGTGTCATTTTCTAATTAAAAGCACAGAGAGTATTTTGAGAAAAGTGCATTCAGAAATCATTAAAATATTTTTTCTTTTTCATTTCCAGTAACTCTGCTCCTCCTCTGTACACTAACAAAAGGCAAACAAAGGAGATTTTATTGTAACCTTAGAAATGACCTGCTTCCTAACAAACAGTAGGGCTTGTTATCATGATCTCATCAAAAGGGTCAAACCAAGTTCAAACATTTGTTAATATCCCTACTCTTTGTTAATATGTATTTCATGAATAACAAGATATTCACAATAGCTGCAGAAAGACAAAACATCTTTATACATACTTTTTACAGATAAATTGATGAGAAAGAACAATGAGAAGATTTCAGGGTTCAGACTGTGAATGACAGATATGCACATGAAAACAGGTTGCCTGTAAGTCAGAGCTAATATTGGCATCCTTCATTATGCCCATATAATTCTATTATTTTGATAAAACACTGAAACATCAATTCAAAATGTAATGCCTACATTCTGAATTTGCACACAGTTACAATAAAATGAAGATGTAAGGCACACTTGTAATGCATTAAAAGACATAACTACACATTACACCCCATGGCATTTACAGATACTTCTTGAGGTTATGGACAATGACGCTTCATGTATTGTTTACCCTCAACTAATCTGCTTATGTATCCTCTTTTACAATTTATGCATATCAGTGAGGAAAACAAGACTCTAGCAAACATTTGCTTTCTAGGCAGCAATCTGAAAGGTTATATCCATACATTTAATTTTTAAAAACAAATGCCATGTCACTTTATATGCCAGCAGTGACTGTCTAAGAAGCATATTTGTTGTTTCCTTTGTATGGCTTATATTTACGCGACTTCATGCTTCCGTTATTGTCAATGAAGATGCCTTACCAGTAAGCTGATAGGTACACTTCACAGATACTCCAGATTCATACAGTGCAATGTTTTCACAACACAGAGCACTATGGAGTCACTGTATGAATCCAAGAACTCCTACCTCTCTTGTGGTTTGCAACTTGAACAGAAGAAACAGTTGACATAGCTAATTTAGGAGCAACTGGATACGTAATAAAATGAACAGTAAATTAGAAAAGTATCATATAGGAACAAATCAAAAGATTAAAACAAACTTCTTTATTTCCTAACTTTGAAAGTAACTTTAACAATGGTTATTGTTTTGTAAGGAAAGGGTGAAAGTTTGGGAAAATGATTTATATACTGTCAACTATTGACTCATTTGAGCTGTAATATCAAAGATAAAGAAAGGGAATGTAATTCATATGTACACACTTCAATGGTTTTGTGTTAGAGGTTATTTGATGGTTTCTCCCAATCCATTACTAATGACTATATGGTAACCAGAGTGGTCTGCAAAGGGTTTTATTAAATTTCCATGCATATTTATTCTAGCCTTATAGCATAAACAAAGAAAACACAACAAAATAACATTCTGTGTAGACAGATTTCTGTATTCTTTTCATATACTATTGTTGACTGAAGTATTTAATCTACAATAAATGTTAGACACTGTAACAATATGCTGCAAACATATAATCTGCATCAAAATGCTTTTAAGTTTTTGTGTTTTGTGCTCCCTAACAAAACATCAAAACTAAATTTATTAAAACTCTTATTTTTGGGGAAGAAACACTGAATAATATGGTGCTGTTCAAGATGTAGTTTGCAATGAGGTTAAGCCTTAGAGCACAAACAGTATGATTAAGCCATGAAATCCATTAGAAATGCTATGTATCATTGGGAATGTTTTTATTCAGAAGTCCTGTGAATAATGTAGGCTAATCCTTACAGAGAGCAGAGGAGCGGAGATCAATCTGGGGTTTTTTTGTTTGTTTAAGAAACACATGCAAAAACTTGGAAAATATAACATGGACTGAATTAAATTACTGGAATGCTAAGTATCATTTCATCAGGGATATTTAATTTAAAATATATGTGAATAATGCAGACTAAAGTAATTGCTGATCCTTATAGAGAGCACAGATCAATTATTATCTTCTGTTTTACTGGGCACACAGAAACTTGCACATATAACATGGTAGATTTTATACGTATGTGTGTATGTTTTGATTTGGTCATTGTGATCAATGGGTTCAACTACAGCCCTTCCAATGTAGTTCCCCAACAGATTCCCAATATGTCTTGTTCAGTTTAGCAGCTATTTTCTCGATCACCTTTTCATTAATTTTATTCTCTATCTATATGTGTTGCAGCACAAAAAAGGACACCCTTTGAACAGTCAAAGCAAGCCACAGGCCAGATTTCTGCAGGGATTTTTTTGGGGAGCAAAGAGCAGTAAATAGGGAGAGCAAAAGTATGATATTTTTTGTAAGGAACACTAATTTTGAAATCTGACTTACAGCTGAGTACAACTTCAAATAACAAAAAAATCTGACTTTTATTAGTCATCTTAAAATGTTGTTCTGTCTCTTTCAAAGCTAATCATCATGCCACAGTCCGTAATTTTTTGTGTGGCACTCTAATTGCAGAACACTATGAGTCTACCCTGCAGAAAACTTGCTTGTATTGTGGATGACACGCAAGCTGAGAATGTCTCTCAGCTCTCTTGGGAAAACAAAGTGGAAACAAGACATTAAAAATGGGTTTGATGTAGACAATGACAATCTTTCTCACTCAAGAATCTCGATACTTACTCAAAATATAGACTGCTGTCTAAACAAGTCCAACATTATCTAGGACTTTTTGTATATCAGTACTTACAACCTATGAGTCTGCTTTTCCAGACTCTTTGCAGTGATAATGTGCATAATCTGAGTGTTTGAAGACTCTTTAGGTAAGGTTTGTTTATGATTATTTTCTCACAGAGTAATATTACTTAACACCAGAAGAAAAATGAGTTGGATTATCATTGTTACTACTTTTGCCACCATGTGGGACTCCTTGAAAGCAGTTTCAGTAATTTTAGACCACTAAGAATTTTACAGCATCCTACCTTGGTTTGGTTTAGAAACCTCAAGGGAAGAAATATTCGGCCATATCCTATCAAACTTTGGAGGATCTGCGTGCATCAGGAAAAATCATGTTTTGTTATTTACATCTGTAATATTGTTCTAAACAGGCAAATATGGACAAAGACATAGATTACAAACATCTATTACTGGACTAGTCTAGGTTGCACTTCAACAGTACATGACTCCACAGTGAACAAGAAAAGAAGCAATTGATGATTCCCAAAACACCAAATGGACATAAAATATTGTGCATAACAGTTTATCTTCTATGGTTTAAAATACAATTTTTCTTGAGACGGTATCTTGATTTTAACACCAGGAACAAGGCAGGAACATATTCTGTTAAATCTGCTCTGCAGAGATAAAATGACAATCTCAGACAATTATGGATTTCTTACCAAAGACACATCTCTTACCATAACATCCTGTTTTAGGGCCTTTCGAGTAAATTATATTTCTGTTATCAGAAGAAATGTATTTACCCATAGAGTGGGCTTTTTCTTTTGCTCTTATACTTTTGCATGTTATATCTATTTCCTATCACCACTACTGATATATTTTACAGCTTGATTTTTTTTTTGTAAGAAAATTAAATGTCTACATTTCTTAAAGACCCTACATAATGTATTACCTACATGTAGAAGCATTTTGTCTCTCAGTGAAAGAATTAGCTATGTCTCTTTAGAGCTTCATCTCCTTTGGTCAATGTGCTTTGGGACTGTGGGAGTGGGGAGTGATAATCCTTAGCAGAATGGTACTCAGTGTTGGAGCTGAGGGTAAGTAAAGGGGATAGGGTTGCAAAAGGAGGAAAGAAAGCTTTTCTTTGGGCCCTGATCTGGGAAATGGTATTTATACTCTCCTTATTTTTCTGTTATATTCTTTTCTTTGTTTTCATCTGTCTAAGTCTGAACATCAGATTTGGACCACATCATCAGCATCATCTGTGAGTACTGCAGTGGTTATGTCCTTTCTGAGCTGAACAGAATTTTCCTTAATGGTCATATCAGCCTGCGTAGCAGTGATATTAGTGGGGGGAGAGCTATTTCTTCATTTCTACCTACAAGGAACTCTGCTGGGTAGTGAGTAGATTGCAGTTGTCACAACCTGGTTGGCATTAAGCATCTAGGCTTAATAGATCTTTTGGAAGAAGGTGTGTTTCCCTGTTATGTTCACCTTTGTGGAAGACCTGCAGGGATGCTACACAAAAAGACTGGGCCTTTAAACATCTGATGTGGAAGTAGGACATGATTTTTTTGCATAGTATCTTCTGACCCATTTGTCAAGGGTGAAGAGAAATCAGCTGGGTGGGGATGGCTGTCCCCAAAGTCCTCCCACATAGAGAACAATGACTTGCACTGTGCCATTTACTGTTACGTAGTCTTCTGCAATTGAATCAGTCAAGTTGTGATATATCACATCATTACACCATATTCTTGCTTTTTTGTACTTTTTCCTTATCAATCAAGAACACAGAAGAAAGAAAAACCGAGCCAGTTCGGTAGATTCTCAAACAGTCTATGTATTGATCAGAAATAACCTGCCTCTGCTGGTCAGATCCACCAATTCACATGCATAGGAAGTGCAAACACAATAGTCAGAGTGTATGACAGCAGGTATCTAAAAGCCATACTAACTGAGGTGGCACAATAACCCTAGCCCACCGAAAGACTAATTCCATGCACCTGAGACAAAACCTTCCTCCTCCTCCTCATCCTCCTGAAACACTGACTGGTTATGTTAAAGAAGTTTCAAGCACACACAGACAAAATACTTGTGCAATTGATTCACTGTTAAAGTTTTGATAGTTTTAGGAACGTGTGGGCTTGACCTAAACATTTTAAAGGGACTGGACATTAGAGAATATGTATAAAAATCAGGAGCTAAAAAAGGAAAAGCAATCTTTAATGACTATACTGTCCTGCTGTCTCCTGAGCCTTTTTCTCTTTTAGCCATAGTGCATCATCAGGGTTCTTGCAGAAAACCTGTGACATTTCAGACTGGTGCTTCCAATATCCTACTTCTGTTGTTGAGTACTGTGTAACACACCTACTCCAAAAATTCACATGCATAATGATTTTCAATTGCAATGGCCTAGGTATGACCAGAAGTAAAAGTAATAGAGTCAAAGCTTTGTAATACCTTAGGACTAGTGCTCTGGAATATCTGTCATTTAATAAATTGTAAGTCCTATATAGGAAATCAGATATTTGGTATAAAATATATAATATTTCATATATAATCTTATTCTGATGATTTCCCCAAGTAATCTCTTGTCCAAATAAAATCATTAACTGTGTGACAGAAAAATCAGTGTTGCATATTTCTTAGTAATCCTGTAAATGCTATAGATGCTATAGATCTGTGCTCATTTTAGCAAACCTACTTAAAATGGAGGTTGTGACTTACTGCAAAATAATTAGAAATTCCCTGACCCTTTAAATTAGATTACATTGAGCTGAGTTTCTTAATGCACATCCAAAACAATAAAGAGCATATTTACAGTCCCTGAAGATTACCAATTAAGGATTATTACTAGTGAATATTACTAGTTATTAGTGATAATTACAACCATATTAGAAGTTCGCATCTGGAGTTATTATTAGTTAACATCTGGAGGTTATTTGTTCCACCCTTCGCTCATAGCAGGGTCAACTTCAAAGTTAGACAAGGTTGTTCAGGGTCGTATCCAGCTGAGATCGGCCACGGTCTTCAGTGTCTCTGGGCTGCTTGATAATGTGGTCAATGCTTCCAGGGACCCAATGTTTCTATTATGTGCTTTTTATTTTTTTAATCTTTGGTAAAGATAATATTTTTTCTTATATCCGTATTTGTGGAATGTATTACCACCAAGATCACAGGTTTCTTGATAAAGGCATTTTTTCTGATCCTTGAAATTTTCTTTTTTTTTTTTTTTTAAATGGAGACAACTTTAAATGCTTTATCTAAAATGTTATGTGAGACGTCCAAGTCAAAGAATGTTGGCTGTCATTCCCACAAGTATATTGGAGTAGATGAGTCATTCTTTGAACAGGCACTGGGAAGGTTCATTTAGCAGCTAGTTATTCTTTTCTAGCAACTTGTGAAAATATTTGTAGTCCTCAGTGATTACCACTAAGGGTTTTATTTGTAGAGAAGTTGACTAGATAAACCAAGCTTTTCCAGAACAGTTCCATATATGGACACTATATTCTGTAATTAAAGTCATTATTTGCCAGAATAATTAATGAATTTTGGTGTAGGTACTCTAGAAGATATATAAATCTACTGTAATATATTTTATGACAGTTATTCTGGGCAAACAAAGCTACAGAAATGTGAAAAAGTTTCTAAAAGTACTTTTTAGTGTTATTATTTAAAAGTGAAGCTACAGTAGGCACCTTTAGGAGTAGAGTTTTGTAAGCTATATGACTGAGCAAAAAATCAGCTATGATATTTTAAATTTGCCTTGGAAATTTCTGCATTTTTAGTTACTATTGTTCCAAAGCAATTATATGCAGAAAATAACCATTGGAAAAAAAAAATCTTACTTTCATGAAGTAAGGAGAAACTGATTGCATGATATTTATTAGATGTGTGATAATTTCCTTTTTTTTTTTATTCTCCCAATCCTTTTTTAGGATATACAGGATTGGAATTACCTACGATATTAAAAGAAGAAAATCTGTCTCAAATATTCACTGGAACTGTGCTCTGCACCATGGGTTACATCATGGTTTCAGATTGGAGAAATAATGGAAATGAACAGGTAGTTTCAGCCTGATTCCAACCAGACAGCTGCACATGAAAAAAAACCTGACATGATGCTGGCAGAAATTAATCAGCACTTTCTTGGTTTCTCACTCTACTCAAGTACTGAGCTGGCAGTAAAATTAAAATGTATTCCCACTGAGAGGGGCTATCCTTCCTCAGGGATGAAGAGTGCAGGTGATGATGCAGTGTATGAAGACTATGTTGCTGCCCTCACACCTGTGCTCTACGGCAGACTAGCGTATTTTCATCTCCTAAACTGTTTCTGCCGACCCGGTCCACAAAAAATGCATTTGCTGAAAAATACTAATAATAAATCCGTAAGTCTTAAATAATGCTCATTCTAACGGCAGACAGGGAGCCCCTGTGTTGACAACTATCATTACTTATTTAATGTATAATGACAGTAAGGAACACTAGTGAGAGACTCTGATTAAGGTGTTTTAAAACTTTCCTTCAACTTTTATTTAAAACTCACAAAAAATTTTAAAAAAGTCAATGTAAGCTTAATGATTCTCGTAGCAGTCCATGTTTCTAGCCATAGAAAACGGGCCTCGCCACTGCTTGCTTTCAGCTATGCATAGCTGAGAATAAATATCTATTCTAAAATAGAGATGTCTGCTGAGCACAGTGATTTCTATATATGATAGTGGGTTTAGCTGTTAATATTAGACAAAAAAATATGAAGAATAAATAATAATGCTCACTGAAATCAATGGCAGATTTAGTAACTGCTGGAATAATTGAGTGTGTTTATATCAGGTCATATTCTATCACTTATTGCAAAGATCACACTATCATTATTACAGCATTTCTACTCATTAGGTCTGTTTGAAGTCATGATAACCTACCTCACATAAAATTTGCCTTTCAGCAGTTTCATAACACTGCAAAATCTAACTCATCAAAAGGGAGGAAATTATTATTTTTTTTTTTATATTAGCCCTTTATTTTATTATGTTTAAAAAAAAATACTTGGCTAATGTCAGGCAATCTTTTTTGGAGCAATGTAGGAAGTTTCATACCTGTTCCTTTGGAGAAAGGAGAATTCTGCATAAATGTGAAGATGTGATTGTTTTATGGCAGGGGGTTTTATAACTGTTGGAAGAATTTAAACGCAATTACTCCTTTACATGTCCACTTGTTGTCTTAGAGTAAAAGAAAATGATATTTTTAGAGGCTTTGAAAAAAAAATCCAATGATCTAGGTCTGGAAACTTTTAGATATCAGAAAAAAACCCACTGATTTTAACAAAAGTGTTGACTAGTTCTCAAACTAATAAGGGAGGGTTCTTCAATTGTAAGTATTTCCACTAAAACGTTTGCAAAAGTGCACAATGAATTAAAGTATTTTTGGAGGAAAATATTTAGGTGCTTTCTCATGATAAAAGAAGTAAATTATTCTGTTGATAGTTTGTGGGGGTTGTTCCTTTTTATTTTGATTGATTCTGCTCTTTTCTGTAAAGATGCTGAAATTACCTGGTTGACTAGGATTACTGTGCAGTAATTCATAACTGATGGAGAACAGTAAATGAAGATCTTTTCTTCAAAAATCAGAATACTGATTTGGAAACCTCGTTCTTCCCTTATACTCTGTGAAATGAACTGGTTACATGTCTAAGGGACAGAAAGAAAAAGAGGACAGGGTAAAATAAAGAAATGCATTTTTTTCTAGCAATTTCTCCCGAAGCTTTATAGATAATTAGATTTTTAAACATCTTCGTGGATCATGTCAGCTCTCTATAAACTTTCCTGAGTAACTGTAGTTAAACTTGGGACCATTATATCTTCTTTTCTATTGTGTCCTATCAGCTGATTGTTTATTAATGGCTAAACCGAAGATAAGTGTGAACTAAGTAATTTCCCATATGTTACAACAAACAGAAAAAAGCACTGAGAAGACAATTTGACTGATACACTAACCTAACCAACCCAAGATGATGAAGGTAAACTGGGATGAAGAATGAGAAACAATACTAAACCGGAAGTGGCTATTTCTATTAGACTGATGAGAATGGCTGCTCTGATCTGTTACAATTGGTGGATTTGTCAAAACAAAAACTGAAAGAAAGGCTCCCCCAGTCCCACCCCGAAAACCTGTCAGTGCTCCCTGGAGAGGCATTGGTAGTTTCTGACCCTGCACTAGAAATCACGCTGCAAAGAGACGGTTTCTGCTCAGTGCTGGGGTCAGCACAGGTGCTCTGCTTACTGAACTTCAAGGGTGAAATCCCCGTTATACAGAAGAAAACTGGCTTTGTTATGAATCCTACCAGGTAAACAGAAGAATGTCTCACAGTGTCTTTTATTTCGAATGTTAAATTTCTTTCAGATCCAGTGTTCAAATGAGTGCACAATGCCACATAAGCTATCAGTATTCTCTTTCAGCCCAGTAATGTTTTAATATAATGGAAAATCTAATTGTTAAAGTGAAAAATTCTGAGTGCTTCAGAGTATTAAAAGAGGGAAAAAAAATACTGTTACTGGCTTGGTAGTGTAATCAGTTACTTAGATAAGGTGGTTGCCTTAGACTTGGAGCCTGATTAACAGTATTATTTGTTAAAAAGTCAGTTTTGGATAAAATTGAGAACATTTTTCTAGTATGTCCAAAATAATACATAGAGTCTCAAGACAACATTCAAATGTTCTAATCATAATAATGGTGTCTCAACAGTACAGCTCTCTCTCTAAAACTTGACCTCAACTAATAACAGAAAACAACCTAGTTATGCTTGTTTATATCCTACTGACATATGTGGGTGTTTTGTATATACACTAGTCCAGAGCTTGGCATTGTAATGGCTTTGATCCCATGACTGTAAATTTAATGAGAGAACTTCTCAGTTACTGCAAGGGGGCAAAATCAGGTCCAAAATACTTTGTGTTGTTATAAAAAAGAAAAAAAAATCCACTAGTATTTACTCTCATGACCTTTTAAGATATATTTACCACATTAAAATTTCATAACAAATATATAAAACAAATAAAACTGCACTCATCCTGACACTTCATTCCAGAAAAATAGCTACTAGATCTTTCAAGGTTAAGAAAATGCTAAAATAAAAGAGTGCTCATTCAGACTTTTTTTTTACTTTTGTCTTGCATTCATTATCATTAGAAAAAAAAGTTCTCTGAATTTGAAATTGGCTATAAAGAAGAACAAAAACATAGTGAACAAGGCAGAAAATACCATTTGATTATCGTGATTGCATCTTGCACTTGGGTGCATGGTCTGTCTCTAAACTCTGACTCATCTGCCACCAGCAGGCTTTAAGGTGATAATCACCCACACAAAGCCATTTGCACATCATGTCTATCCTATCCTGTATCTAATTATACCCTTTATAACAAACTGTTTAGCATAATTAGTGGAGTTATGCTTTACAGGAATAAAGACAGAAGCTATAGTTTAGAAGATTCAACTTTTTGAAGGCATACTCATACAGATTAGTAACTTTGGTGTTTGGTCACAATAATGAACATTTTAATGCACTGATCTATGTAAAATAATGTAGTATTCAAAATATTTACGTACTGTATATAAGCATTGCTTAAAACTATGAAACAGTTTTGGGACTCATTAATTGCTAACATTTTCACTAGTATTTTTCCAGACATGGCTGAAAAATGCTGAAAGGGCCAGCACTGGAATAAAGACTGCTGTAAATGACCAGAGAACCTTTTATTCAACTGATAGAAAACAGTAGGTACAAATGACCTTAATGGGAAAGCTCTGATTTTTTTTTTCCCTCTAGATGATCAGAAAGGATGTTTACTTAATGACCACTCTTTCTTTGTGTTCAAACTTTAATGATGAAGCTGCTTTAACACCAGATCCTTTGAGGTAAAAAAGGAATAGAGAATGATACATATACATGCACACAGGTAAATATAGATTTTTTTCTTTGCTTGCTTTCATTGTAGTCTTAAAAGTGTTAAATAAACACCACTTCCAGTGGCATCTTCTTTGTATGCTGGCAGTTTAGTCTTCACAACCCCCCACCCCAACCCCATCCTCCTAACGTAATAGGGAAAGCTTGAAGAACACAAAAGCCAATACCCGCCCCATTAGTGTTTGCTGCCAGGCAAAACAAACCCTAAACTGTATCTCCTGAGAGTAGCTTCCTGTCCCCAGATGGGCAAAAACTCTGCTGATATGAACACAAACACTGTATTAGCACAGACAAAAGAAGAAATCATGCAGAATCCATTAAAGCAGCCACAACTAATTAATCTTGTTTGGTTTTATGTGTTAATTGCACTTCTGTTAAATTCTCTTGGAGACCAGGATAAATTTATGGGTTCTATTCTTGTTTAATGATGATTCTTCTGTTTCTATTCTATAGGAAAAATGTTCAGAACGTTGTGTAAATAGAGCTATTTTCCCCGAGCTACTTAAGAAATAACACATGAAAAACCAAGCAGAGTGTCAGTATTTACTTGTGGTCATGAAGAGAGACTCATGCTTCATCCTTTCCAGGTAGGCAAAGAACTTTGTTGAATTCTACCACATATTATTCTACAACATTTACAGCAGATTAAAGATAAAGCGTGGACTTGCAGAAACTCTTATATTTCCTATGAAATGTTAAACAGAATTTTCTCAGTTTGTAGTAAATAAACTGTACTAATCACCTCAGTGTAAAATACACAGAGGTCAACAATGCATCCTTTCAGGTCACCATTGTTTAAAAGGTTTTTGAGTTTCCCTATTAAGTTTTCAAAGGCCAACATCTGCTGATGCTCAGAAATGGTAGATGAGGTGATGAAGGCTGTATGGAGTGTGAAGTGAAAACACAACCATATAGTCCATGCAACACAGTACTAAGAAACTACAGCAGAAGCAAACTCCAAAGAGTTATTTTCCCACTCATCCAATTTCTGTTATTAACGGCAGGAATATTCCTGAGAACAGTGACATAAACTTCTTCATTTAGTTCATTTTTTTGGTCATAAAATACATGTATAAACATAAGGTTTTGAAAATAGCACATCACGTTGCATTTGCAGTCATGCAAATGCCAAAGGAGATACTAAAGCGGCAAAATTACATTATTAAGGTTGAAGGCTTTCATTTGCACGGTATTGTCATTGATGCTGTTTCACTACTTAAAGATGCAAAAGAGATGCCATGGTGTTCAGCTGTTAACGCTGCTCTCATTTGCAAGGAAGCTAGTTTTGATGGCATTCAGCTTGCTGTCTAAAGCTTAACAAATCAGCACCATTCATGAGCTTACGTAAACTGAGCTGATCTATAAACTGACAGACCTGACCCTGCATCATAAGAAGTGAGGCAGTTTTACCCAAATTATTAGAAGCTTTTCAGTTGGATATCTAATATGGCAAATTGCATTTTACTGCTGTGATATTTTATCATTGTGATAGTCTGCATCACACAAGTTGTGTCTAAAGCCTCTGCAAAGCTGAGGCTGTAGGGAATATCCTTTCATTTCTAGCTGCCTGCTTTATTTGTAACCAGGTAACATCGCGACTGTGTGGAATTCTCAGCTATGGAACTCCGCTAGACTTACACTTGAGCTACCGTGCATTTAGTCCCTTGAAATGTTTTGTTTAATTAATCATCCATTTCCTTGACATATTAGTTCTTTACATAATGGTGTTATAGTTTAAAGTGTAATATTTTTGTGTCTTAAATGCATATAGGAAAACAGGTTTTTGTGAAAGAACACAATTCTATTTATTTTGTGCAGTAAAGCCCAGTGCAAAGGCTGCTGGAGTTAATGCAAAGACTCCAGCAGATACACTGCATTTGCTAAGCCACTTCATAAAACTGAAAGCTCTTCCATTCGCTGTTTGAATTCACATGCATGCATACCTGCATGAAAATTAATGGTCCTATACATCTATCTTATCAGCAAACATTTTTTTTTAAAAGATGCTCAATAAATATTAACTGTGGAACAGTGTCTTAATTCTCTGTATAATACTCAGTTTCATAGCACTCAGTTTTCATCTGCTGATCAGAACTGATCAGAAAATCTGCCGTTGAAGGCAGATGCGTTGTCAGGAGTGACATTCTCTCTGACCACGTAATACAGTTACATGTTAATGCAACAGAGGAAGGCCAATACATAGCCCCTGCACTACAGAGCACATTTTCAGAGAAACTTCATCTACAACAGAAAGGGATGTTGGGAAATTAGATCCGAGAAACTGAATGACAATGCAAAACAATACTGGTTTTATTACTTACTACCAATACTGGAAATACTGGGTATACCTGTAAAGAAAGAAAACAGAAAAATTATAGTTAGCTGTTTGCTGTAGTTGGCTGAGCTATTACGTCTAAGATTCTGAAAACAACTTTGTCCTAATTTTCAGAATACTGTATAAATACATAGTTAAGTCCAAGCAATTGCCAATAGGTATCCAGCCCTTTATAAAAGCAGTCTTTCGATTTTTCAGTACGAGGCTGCAGGGACCACTAAAATGGATTGACAGATGGGTATTTCTGCGACCTACACCAGCTCTCTGAACTTCATGAATTTGTTCAGAACGGTTTTGTATTTCAACTAATCAGCCATTAGGTTTAATGCTCTAGATAAAAATATCAGTCATGCATGTATTATGCAGATCTAGGCGAATAATTTAACCAAGGGATAAATGCATTGCTAACTGCTTTGGCCAGATGCTTAAATCAGTTGATACCCTCTGTTGCATTAACGGTATACAGCTATTTTTTCCCTCTTTTACCTGATGGTTATCTAAATTAAGCTATGGAAAAGAAAGGTAATTGAGTGAAACAATCTAATGGATTAAGCTGGTCGTGTTGACTAAGCCTCTTATTGATTTTTTTTTTCTGCTTTCATTTCAATTCCTAAGCTGAATTAATGCAAGGAAACCATTCCAGAAGCAGGTGAGATTTACCAGAAGAGGTGGGGCTGCTGAGGAGTAAAACTCCTCTGCTGGATTAGCAATGTGGGGTCTCATGTTGCATGACGCAGTTACAACAAGTAGCTTATTGTCAGGTCTGCCCTAAAAGGCACGTAGTACAAAAATATGGACATTAAATTTTTCCTGAAATGCCATCTTCTTTAGATGAAATGGCATTGCTAATGGCACTATTGCTAGTCTCTTGGGTTGAAGTCACAAACTGCAGATTGGTATCGAAATCCTGGATATTAGCATCCTCTTAGTTAAATACAGTTTGCCTTTTGTGAGTTTTATTGACCTTTGATGGCATGCATTTTACTGCAGGTCTGTGTCTCCATTAAACATCTGCTATACTTCTTTCAACATCTGTCATGGTATGGACCTTATTCTGCAATTAAGCAAACTGGAGCGAAGGAATGTCTTGGGAATAAATGATATTCAAGGTAAGCAAGGTTGCAGAGTCAAGTTGGGAACATTTCTAACTCGTGGTACGGCTAAGACAATGCTGTAGTAACTGCATTTGCAGAATGACGACCATAAACAGATCTTTTGTGTTTCACCACATCAGTCCTAGCGCACATGTCAGAATTGCTGTTCTATGGTTTCATATCCTATGGAACCTGTGGTCTGGCAGAGCGCTGGGCACCGTGCTGGAGACAGCACCTGCTGCTAACCAAGCCCACACTCAGATGATGTTTGCAAACTTAATTATTTCTAATTCTGCTGAGGATTAACATGTATTTTCCAAAATTTTAGAATCATGAGGTATTAAAAGCTAAATAAAAATGTCAGCATAATAGAACAATACTGTTATAGTTGTAAAAGTAACAAAAAGTGCATTTTTCAGTTAGGATAATGTAAGAGAACTTCTATCCCTTTGTCTTAAACGTCAAAAAGGCAATCAATTATCAAATAATTTTCCCCAAAGTTTCAATAGCAGCTAGTTTACATCTTTGCAAGTCATTGTAGCTGTTTTAAATTAGCAGAATTCATTTTCCTTTACACACTGATGGAAACTGCACAAATATTAGATAAAATACAGATACCGTGTTCTTGCACTCACACTTCCACTGTGAAATGGTATTTGTATTTCCTCCGGGTATACTCCCCCGCCTCAAACCTCTCTCTCCTACACACACACACAAATACTCTTTCCTTTCTCTCCTGAACAGATTGTAGCAAAGGGAGAGGTTTTCCTGCACGTCTGCTCTCCTCATTTTACTGTATTTCCAAATTTTCAATGAATGCATAGTGATGAATGTTTCCTGGGCAGAGAATAACGAAAACAAGATGCCTGCTAGCCTGAGGGGCTCTGTATTAATCTTGCAAAGTTGTCTTCAGGTTCTGTTTGTAAAGCTCTTTTGCTATTTCCATACAGAGTTTCTGAGCTGGTGTGATCTGTAACCAGCTTGATTCTTGTAATACCAGGTATCCCTGTGTGTGGTGACTGGCCTTGACAGTGCACTATTTTATGCCTTTTCTGCTAAAGAGAGTGAGAATGGCACCTCTAAGTTTGTCTGGAAAAGAGCTGGTTACGTAGGGCCATGAAGCAGGATCTACTGACACTCTGTGAAAACTGCACATATAATAGGAAAACTATTCTTGGTAAGAATGTTTCTGTGAGATCTGGAGTTACATACTGAGGCTAGCTCTTGAATTCAGCTGAGCTATATTTTGTGCAATTCCTTAGGTAATGACGCACAGGAGGGGCGATTCTGCATCTCCCTCCGTGTGAGGGTTGAGGCATGTGGGGGCCTGGCTGCATGGCTCCTCCTGCGGCACCCCCGCCAGGGACACCAGCGGGCTGTGGGGAGCCACCCAGCGCTGCTGGCCCCTTGGATGGAAACTAGTATGTTATGAGACATGGATCATTTCCAGTCAGCCTTCTGCTGAAATCTGTGAGTAATTTACAGCAGTGAAATGATGTGAACAGCTTATAGAGAGAGATGACGAATAAGGCCCATTACAACCCTTGATGCACAACTCTTTTCAGATAGACCTAAAATTAAATAAACCCAAGTGATTGCATTTATGTATATTCAGTTGTTAAACCACAGCAATGTTCAGTCTAAATCATCTTTCAGTTGAAATCACTGGGATGGTTATTAATGATAATAGTTTTATAGTGAGGAAACAGCAAGTAAAGCGTGCAAACAAAGCTCAGAGGTAGCTACTGCCCCCGAAATGACAAACATTGCAGAAGAAAGTCTCTAATACTATTTATTATTTTTGTCTTGACTTAGGGGTGGTGGTTTGGTATATTATGTGTTCACTGTAAGTGCATCTAAATATACATGCATTACTTGAGAGAAAAAAAATCTGGTGTTTTCCTTTCATATGATCTTCTGCATCTGCCCTGTAATTTTCTCGTTTCCCCTTTTTTTCCAAAAATGGGCTGTTTTAGCTGTTAGCTACCATGGAGCTGATTATTGAGAATGGAGAAAAAAGCAAATCAGATGCTAGCAAATCAGATGCTAGCAAAGAAAGCAAGTTTTTGAATTCTTCTATAGTTTGTGTCAATGTGAAATCTGTAACACAAAGGAACAGCGTCAAGCTTTCGGTGAGAAGGGCCACACTGCTGCTTCCAGTCTCAGGGCGGGTCATACCCTGCAGACCCTCTTAACACCTCCATCATCAATGCCTGTGTGCACTTCCTGCCAGCAGTGCAATTAATGCAGTCAGGCTGCATCTATTCCTGGGCACGGAGTATGTGTGGGATGAAGGAATTACTCTGTCAACTCACTCTTGGCGACCATCTTTCTCATGGGCTTCTCTGCCTGTTCTCCATCACGAGTTAAACATGCACCTGTTGTATGACAGGGAGCCAGGGACAGGCCCTGCTGCTATCACAACACTACACCCAGCTCGCA